TGAGTGAATGCCGAGCATAGAAACTTCCTAAAAACTCGCCGAGTATTTTATTCAGATAATTATAGTGATGAAGTCCAACCGTTCAGCGTATTTTGCGTCTTCTCGATGACGACGCCATTTGATGCGAATGAAGAAATAAAGAGATGGCAAAAAACAGTTCCTTAAAAACTAACGATTTCTTTCGAGAACTAGTGCGACAAGGTCACAACAATGGCAAACTTGTTTTTTCGTCTACACTTCTTCTGCACTTTTTTTCCCAATTGTGACCCTTGATAAAATTTGATTTGTTAAATCACTATTATTCAAGACCTAACCATGATGTCCTTCTGAACAGAGAAGCTGCTTGTTGATTTAGGCCCGGTTACTGAGCTGAAGATAGAGCCAGGAGTTTCTTTTGCATATCATGTAAGAGAAAAATGGAATAATAGATATTTCATGCCATCAATTGCGCTAGCAAAAACTGAAAGCTGAAAACAGCTACTTTTTTTGTATTTGGCTGTCATTATTGTTCGCAGTGAAAAGTGATGAAGGAAGTAAATGAAAAACGAATAACTACTTATTTACAAAAACGATGTGAAAAGGTAAATTGTGTTGATAACCGGAATAAGTCCGGCCACTCATCAGGAAATAACCGGGAAGTAAGAATAAATGAAAGAAGTTTTGTCTTATGTCAGTGATATGTCAAATGCCACGGCCATGAATTGATAATAAAATCATGCGTGCAATGTTTTTTGAGATTCGCCATGATATCTGCACTAGTTCAGTCATCAGCTACTTCTATCCATTCTTATTCCAATTATATGCTGAAAAAGATAAGGACAGAGGAACAAAAATCGACAACTCCTCCCACGATGCAACTACTCGTATATCATTATACTTGTATGTCGTAGATTCAAGTAAGCCAAATTCAATAATGGAAAGCATATCCACAAAAGCAATGGTTCTCATGATATCAGTACTAGCTGTGGCAAAGGAGAACTGTAAATGGATACCTTTATTCCATTGAATATTCCAGGAAAATGGAATTATAAAGAAATTATAGAACAAAACTTTACACCAACTAAGATTGCCGTATAAACTCGAACCCACGTTCGAATATCTGCAACGACACGCAGCAATATTTCCAGAACAGTACGTACTAAAACGTTCCTTATATTATTATCATTATCGCCTTTCGAAATTAATGATGAAGATAATCCTCTTGATATTAATGACGAAGAAAATACAGGAATTCAGCCAAACTATCAGGAGATTGACAAACCGAAAGATTCTATAGCACTACGTACTAGAAGTGCCACAAGACAACTCCCCAAATTCCTCCTCCAGAAATATAATTTCCTTTCATCGGGAATGTGGAAAACCCGAGAATATCTACAATATGTTGAAACAGTCAAAGTATGTGTACTACAAATTTTCTCGAGTTTTCCGACAGGAAGTAGACATGATTACGTTGAAATAGATTTCTCCTAACAAACGGATGAAAACAGTAACGTGCAATATTCCTACAGATGGTTAAACGTCAGATGTCAATCTACAACAAATTTTGTATTTGCGAAGGGAGAAATATTTAATGGTGAAAGAAGATTAGCATCAGATCTAGGTAGTACCGAGCACTGTACTACACAAAGGGGAAAATGCATAATATAAAATATTGTTCCATGGAATGAGAAGGAAGCAACCAAAAAATGCTTGGATAGGAAGATTGGGATTTTTGATACTCAGATAGATATATGCAAATCATATTATAGATAAGCTAACTTGTTTTTAACAGAGAAAATGAAACAGTTACGACAGAAAAATCATGAATCATGAATGAAGTTAAATTACATCCTATGATGACAGTAGTACCGAAACCGCAATAATCCATTATTATTGATTGAATGGTTGTCACTCGGTAACGTAATCATGGCTGCAAAATTTCTATTACAAAGGGATGATGTAATTGCAAACGGAGTCGAAGGACATCGCTCGGTGTCAATCTAAAAAACTCGATCCGGGAATTGTTGAAGAATAATCAGTGATTTCGAGATTGAAAGAATTAATGCAAAACTGGTCATAATGACCCGAAGGCAAGGAACGGTCAAACCGGAGACGGAATCTCTCTGGGAAAAAATAAGGCAACAATGGGAAGAACTATTACAGCTGTTGGAAAATGGATTTGATAGAGCTACAGAGTTGATACAAGAACAATCAACAAAACTATGTGTCGCTCGGAAATTGATCTGTATTGGTGTGTTTTTATAATGGCTATTGTACTATCGCAATTAAAACGAAATTTGATTTAATTCGATATAAAATTTCTAATTTTGACACTCACGGTGTCAAAGGTCAAGTGTGAAAAATTCAAAGCCTGAAATTACTCAGTTCAAACAGGCGCTGATTGTTCTTGTATAGAGTTCTAAAATTTTTATGGAAAACTTGTGAAACTTATTATTTAATGAAGGTAAAATCTACAACAAATGGAATCGCTTGCAAAGGTAAATATGTGTTATGAGAAGTGTGGTACAAATTTAAAGATTTTTGAAGCACAATTTAAAGTTAATGTATTCATCATGGTGGTAATTATAACATGTGCCTCATTAAATACATAGTCGAATTAATTTCTCAGTTCAAGAAAATTGTCCAATCCTGAACCTGTGAAAGTTTTTGTTATCTTTGATTGGGAAAATGGCTTTTCCAGTTGCGCAGTTTTTTTTTTTTCAAATTCACGTCTGATACATGAAGTTTCAGATTTGCCAGTTATAATGTTTTATTTCTTTGCAGTACTGGCTAATTCACTTGAACTCGAACTGCTCAATTGCATTCTTGATGGGGATTCTGTATCAGTTTTATCACTCGTTCGATATTTGTCAGCATCAACATTCTTTTGATGTCTTCACATCCTGCCTGCATCATTTCTTCGCGCAATGCATGAGCTTGATTGTTGCGTAGAAGATGTAGAAAACAGCGATAATAAAATTCCATCTCTTCAAAATTCCTATTCTCATTTCTCAGGTGAGAGATACAAGCACGCATGTTTGCAAAAGGTGAAGTTAGCAATATGTTCCACAACAGGCGGAAAGCGTAATGATAACATTGATATGAACCTGGGAATCCAAGTATGCACGTGTGCAAATGATTACCATCAAAATGGTATCATGATAGCAACGTGATATATTCACGTAATTCTCTGGATGATAGAAGATTTCGAACTAACAAGATGGCTCGAATTTTTTTTCTGCTATGATTAACATTTTGACCAAATAGCTTTTCCATTTTGAATTGGTCCTGCGATATGCTATTCTGCAATCTTTTAGCCTTGAACTTATTGTGACTTTTCAATTTAAGCTTATGAAATGATATTAACCATAAATGTCCTAGTTAAGGTAGTCAGGCTTAGAATTTAAAAATACGAAGCAATTTTTCATATTTTTAAATTGGGCTAAATAAACTACTCTTATGGACAAGATTAATAACTAGACTGAATGATCTGATATAGATATGACGTGATATCCATATTGGTCTTGAAATATCTCTGTAATTCTTTCCCAATGAAATGGAATTCAGGAAAGAGGTGTTACTGCATTAATACTATTTTAATCACCCAGGTTGAGGTCACCAGGTAGCCAAGTTGAGGTGCCCGTTGTATTTTTTCTCCTGCTAAAGTGTGCTATTTCCTGATGAATTAAAAATACCTGTATCCCCAGCGGTTATTCCCTCGTATTTTACTTTTCTTTGTTGAGAAGCTACACATTTGTGAAGGTATTCCATCCATTTGTCATTCGCTGTTTCCAAAGCAGTAATATGCAGTTTGAGGCGTTTTATTTTTTCATAGCAGAAGTCTAGAAATGTACAACTGAATATAAGCACGGTTATCAGATTAAATACTTCTGCAACATGCCCATTAATGTGGACAAGCAGTTGTCATCCAGCTGCTCACCAAGGACCGGAGATTACAAGTAGATTAGTTAACAAGCGGCAGTTCTTTACCACAGTGTTACAGGAATTGGATAAACGATTCATCACTTAATAGGTTGGAAATTTAGTTGTAATTTTTGTGCAATGAATCTCTTATCAAAAAATGATCTAAATAAAACAATATTTATGATACAAATTTGTGATGCCCATACTTCGATTGTTTTAACGTATTACAAATTTTTTCGGTTATCCAGTTGAATGTTTGGTTTCTTTGCAGTGTTGGCCACTTCACCTGAACTCATACTACTTGATTGTATTCTTGATGAGGATTTCGTGTCAGTGTTATCACTCGTTCGATATCTGTCAGCATTATCATTCCTTTGATGTCTTCGCATCCTGCCTGCATCATTCGTGCAATGCATGAGCTTGGTTGTTGCGTAGAAGATGTACACAACAGAGATACTAAAATTGCTTCCCCTTAAAATTCCTATTCCCTGCTGGGAAGTTGTTTTTTTATTGAGCTCGTTTCTTAGCGATATAAATTTATTCGGGATGCAATATTGTTCTTCCACATTATTACTGGTTAATTATATATATATATATATATATATATATATTACACGAAATATGATCAACTAACAAACTCCTTGTCGTTGCCTTGGACAATAATTTGACTGTCGGTTAGTTGATAGGTCGATGAGTTCGGAATACGTTACGAGAAATGTATTTAGTGAATAGAAGAATATCGTAGTTTGTTGTCCAATGGTGGCGGATATACGAAGATGTCGTTGTTTGTGGTTCATCGTGGAGAATAGGCGAAAAGGATGTGTCGTTTGCTCGGTTATAAAAGCTGCCCTCAATGGTTTTTTTCATATATATGTAAGGATTAGACAGCAGTTTTGTAAGCTCCATCGGGCTTATCGTGGAGATATGGCTGCCCTTTGGCACTGTCAATTGCAGGTACTGAGACGTCTTTGTTTTATGCTCTCTTTATTGTTTTAATTTTACTTACAAGATTTCATCACCCGTTTGTTGGATATTGTGGAAATTTTATTTGAACCACAATACAATTATTTGTATGTCACATTTCAGCGAAAGTTATCGGAGAATAAGATTGTGTAACTTTTTCTCCACCGACTACTCGTTTTTTATGCAAATTGAAATACCTTACCTCCTCCTCTCCATAGATATTCATCAGCGAGTAAGCATTCTCCCACTTCTCTATATAGCACATCTAATGATCACTTTATCATTTATCGATCGAAAAATTAATTAAACCAATTTTGTTCAGAGAAAGTGGCATTTCAGATTTATGAAATACTTGGCTATAAAAGAAAATGAAAAAAAAAACAACCGATATGTATGCAATTTACACATCGTTCCAAAATTTTATTCTGGTTTTAATACGTACTGTCCTATACGTTTAGCCTTTTTAGTAAAAAGTTTGAAGCAATTCTGAAGATGCGAGTTTAGAATTATTATACTTCAGAAACTTGTTGCTCCTTAATTCCTTATTCAGTACAACATTTCAATAATTCAACGAGTGGTTGATATCGAAATTAACTAATTATTACTCTATTCATTTGTTCTTTTCAATCCATGAGTTGTCGATCACTATAGGTACTATAAATTATGATGGAGTCGTAGATGACTTTGACAACTTGTATTGCGCAGGTTTTTGATATATTTTTAACATTGATTTAATTTACAATCTATTTAATAGATTCATGTAGAACAAAACACCAAACAAAGCTTTGCACAATTTTTAAAGTTTAAAGTCTGCACGATGATATAAAGGCATTTGAAGAAAGTGAA